TAAAAGCAAAGGAACAAGTTCTGGACAGAAAGTGCTTTATGGGGACAGAGAGCATTTTGATTGGATAGGAATGCACTGAGGACTACTTATGAATAAGTGGGGTTAGACATGGTTAAAAAAATAACATGGATTGATAGATGATACAGAGATGGTAAGTGATAAAGAAACTGCAGTAAGATGTTAATGGTAGAATCTAGGTGGTGGGTGTAAAGTTTTTTCATATTATGAAAATTTTCATAATAAAATGTTGGCAAACCAAAGAGGAAAATGGAAGTCTAGAAGATTTTGAAGGAAGAATCAGTGAGATTTAAGAGAAGCAATGTTTATAGTGAAAAGAACGTGGGCGTTGGAGTCACACAGACCTGAATTCTGGTTCTGGCTTAGCTGTTTGCTATCGGGTTAAGTATACTGCTCAATGGTGGTGCCAGGATTTGAACCCAGGCACCCTGGGTCTTGCTTTGGTCTCTTCCTTGTGGTGTGGCAATGATACAAGTTCCTAGCTCAGCGTCTGGCACATGGTAGATTCTCAGATGGTAGCCGTTGCTATTAGTGTATTGTCTGGGCTGCAGAAGATGAAGGAGTCTACAATTTAGTGTCTGACCTGGAAGATTTATATGACATAGTTATGCAAACTGGAAGGTAAAACTATTTGTGGAGAAGAGATGGTTTGGTTTTAGATAAGAGGAAGTAGAGATTTTCATATGAACGGTTTCCCATATTTTCCTTAAGTTCAACAAATCATTTGATCACCAAATATTTGAGTGTTATATATGCTGAGCACTATTCTAGACCAGTGAACAAAACAAAAACCCCTTTCCTTATAGTTTTACATCCTAAAAGGGTTTGATGAATTAAGGATATTTATATCTCCAATGCAGAGTGACTTCTCCAAAGGTAAAAATGCAGGCATTCACCAGCAAGAGAAGGTGGTGTTTTCATAGCAGACTGTGCTGATGTCCCTGACATCATGCCATACAGGCAGTTATTGCCTCTGCTTTCTCTCAAGCTCATCTGTGTTCTGATTTCCTCTGCAGTTTTTATTTCCATCTGGAGTTGGTGAAACAGCTTATATAAGCCATTTAGGATTGTTTCAAAATATATGTTCAGCTTGTAAAATGGACCAGATGAAATGGAACAATGTTAGTGCCCTTTCATAGTGTATATAGTATGAGCAGAGAAGACTGAAATGAAATTCATGATATTGCACATAAAACAGAGGACGTTAAGATCTCCTTTCTGGGCTCATGCAGGAATCCTGTAACTTAGCCAGGCTCTGACTTCAGCGCCCTTTCAGGGTGTGTATTCCTTGGCGATTACGCACTCATTCCAATAGGGTACGAGGTCAGTCAGTAAAAGTATGTATTAAGCCAGACCCTCCTCTGCTTCTGAGTCATTTTCTGGTCAGGCAAAAAAGATTCTTGGGGAGAAGCTAAACTTTTCAGATGGCAAAGGTTACTCCTCCGTGTAATAGGGTAGCTCTCTTAGTCATCCTTATAGGGCTTATGCTAATTCTTTCCTTGGTATTTTAGATAATGAAGTATAGATTTATTTAGATATTGAGATGGAATTTGAAAAAACGTAGTTGAAGGAAAATAATATTCACTTGGGCCCAATCTTGAGGAGTTGTTTTAATACCATATATTGGGTTGTCAGAAAAGTCATGATGCATTCTTGCAATGAAAAACATAGAAAACATACATCATGACTTTTCCGACAACCCAATAGGTGGCTAAGAGGTTTGCAAAATACATGTTTGTTTTAGAAAAAAAAAATATTTGTGACACCACCCTTATGTGGAAATCTGACATCTGGCAACTTCAGCCCTGTGGAAGACAGCCAGAAGTTGAGAACGGGGCCTCAGAGCACATAAAAAATAACTGTTGAAAATCTCTAGCCCTAACACATGTATTTAACCACTGAACAAGAGTTTGTAGCCTTGTATTTAGAGCTTGTTTACTTTTTATTTATCTGGCAACTTTTAATAAGTTTGGCCATGTATATGTGGTCCCTCCTCCCCAGCAGATTATCAACCGTATAGAAAGAGGGTGGGAAAGTTGACAGACGAGATCAACTGATAGCAGAGGGAAGGCTGACATCAAAGAGAAAGATCTAGAAGTTATACAGTGCTGGTATTATGTAGCACAGCACAGCACAGCAATGTACGATCTTCATAATGAACTCACGTCCATCAGCTGAAGAGTAATCACGTGCAGTGTCTTCTCTTCCCCTGAAGAAGGTAGGGAGGTGCATCATGTGTCTGTTTTTAAACATGATCCAAGTTAACCAAGTTTTGACAGGTTGAAATGGTAAATTCTGTAGTGTGTATATACTTGAAATAGCACATTCTCTGTTGCTGCTGTACCAGTGGCACTGATTCGAGCTTATCGCTGATTATGGAAATGATGTTTAGTAGTAACTGCTAACATTTATGGAGCGTCTACTGTATGAGCCCCGTCCCAGGTGCTTTCACACTATTTGCCTACTGGTTAAGGCTTTGAAGACAGACACATCTGGGTTCCCAGTTCCATCTCTGACTTACTGTGTAACCTTGGACAGATTGCATCACCTTTCTGAGCCTGTGTCTTCACCTGGAAAATGGGGACCGATAATATACAATAGGGTTGTTGTGAAGACTTGATGAAGGAAGTATTTAGGACAATGCATGGCACATAGTCCGTGGTCATTTAATATTGGGCATTGTTATAATTACTGTAATTATCATCATCCTCTTGATGGTTGTTATGAAAGTATGATTACTTCCATTTTTCTGAACAAGGAAACTGAAGCTCAGAGGGTTTAAGTCATATGTCCAAGGTGAAATGGCTAATAAATAGTGGAGCTGGGATTTGAACCTTGGTCTGACTCCAGAAGCCCAATACTTTGCATTTGCATTACGCTGTCTCCTCAGTGTATGATTATAGTTAGATTTTTTAAAAAATATTTTTTATTGGGGAATTGGGGAAAGGGAACAGCCAAGTTGTTGTCCTTCAGTCTTAGTTGTGGAGGGCGCAGCTAGCTCAGCTCCAAGTCCAGTTGCCATCCAGCCTCCCATCGGCAGCTCAGGGCAGCTCAGCTCAAGGTACTGTGTTCAATCTTAGTTGCAGGTGGGCGCAGCCCACCATCCCATGCGGGAGTTGAACCGGCAACCTTGTTGTTAGGAGCACGTGCTCTCACCAGCTGAGCCATCCTGCCACCTGTTGGCAGCTCAGCTCTGGCGCAGCTCACTGGCCCATGTGGGAATCGAACCGGCGACCCTGTTGCTCAGAGCTCACGCTCGTAACCAACTGAGCCACTTGGCCGGCCCAGTAAAATTAGATTTTTTTAATACTTAAAGCTATATGGTAGGAGATGGCAAAGGATGTGGGAAATGTTACTAGCCACTTCTCTTTTCCACTGTACACCCAAGCCATCTCATTATAGAAAAAAGTTCCAGTAACACAAAGATAAGCTCCTTTTACTCAACGGTACAAATTTAATATGTAATGTTCAATTGTGTTGCCAAATACATATTATGCAAGATTCATGAAAATCTTATTGGTACCCTGCATTAATTTACTGAACGGTATTTATCGTATGCCTAAGATATTTGTCCACATGATTGTTTTCTTAGATTATAAACTTAACAGAGCTATAACCATTTTTTTTTTGTTTTCAGGCACTTAGTGCCTTTTGAAGTGATTATAGTTATTTGTGAGATGAAAGTTAGAATCCTCATCTCTGTCAACACCAAATGAATACTTGATAAATACAAGAAAACAAATAGAGAAAGAAAAGCAGACTTGGGGTCTGGACACTTCGGAGATCTTCTGTTTCTCCTGTAAAAGACCTGGGGAGAAGTGTAGCTAATGATGGCTGATGTTTTACCGGTGGGCACAGGCACTCCATTTTTTTCCTGTCTATCACTTACACACGTACTTAGGCTCCCCGGCCACACATGTCAAGGTAACAGACACCTCACCTTATCATAACACAGACACCTAACAGTGCAAGGATACTATGCAAGGCTGGGCTATAGGTGTCTTTGAAGCAAAAACACATTCTTAATTTGGTATAGTGTACCAAATCTTGTCTGGAGGTGCCGTCTACATAGCCCTTTCTTGTTCTTTTTATGAATTTTTACTTTTCAGTATGTTTGAACTCTCAGCCACTGAGGAGCGGCCCTGCTGCTGTTCTTCATGTCACGTTCCTTTTTTTTTTTTTTGCCGGCACAGTCTCGGTGGGTAGGAGGCAGAATGTCCCCAGTCTGAATCCTGGCCCTGCTGCTACAAACTCTGTAAGCTTGGACAAATTAAGCGTTCTCACTGGCTAAGCCTCAGTGTCCTAATTTTTAAGAAGGTTACGGGGCATAAATGAAAGGCCATATTTAAAATCTCTACTTTTTAAATACCGTATGTTAAAAGTTAAAAATACCTTGTTGCCTGGTACTTAAAAAATGTTAATTTCCTTATTGCCCTCTTCAGACATACTGAAAAGTCGATTATTTCCCAAGTTGTGTCTTTTCTATCACTCATGGTATAGGTCATTCTTTTTTTGTTTTTTGTTTTCAATTCCAGAATGACTTTGAGAATCGAATGAAAAATATATGAGGACATCATTATTTTGTTTTATTTTTATTAATAAAAATTTCAGAAGGCAGACCTCTTGGTGAGTGGGGATGTGTGGTTAGTGTGCGTTGCTTCTCTTGGCTTTGAAGGCTGCATCTACAAAAAGACACGATTAATCCAATAATTCATCCTTCGTTCCCGAATAGGAGACTAAGGTCCAACATCTACGTATGCTCTAGTTCTGTCATAGGTGCTAAGGAAACTATTATTAAAAAAAAAAAAAGTGAGACAGTACTTTGATTTTTTTTAAGTGTAAAGTATAAACTTCTTATTTGCTTAGCTTTGACTTTATTCTAAGTATCTTTATATCTTAAGCTTTATCATTCTCAAGATATAGAGCTATATTACAGTGTCTTAAATATTTATGCTTTTCCGTTTCTTTTGACCTTTCTCCAGCTTATGAAACATGGAGGCCGGCTCAGTGGTTCGAGCCATCTTTGACTTCTGCCCTAGTGTCTCAGAAGAACTGCCCCTCTTTGTGGGAGATATTATTGAGGTGTTGGCAGTGGTGGATGAATTTTGGCTTCTAGGAAAGAAAGAGGATGTTACAGGTAAGTGGGTCATCGTTCCTCTTGTACAAAATGGACCACAGGCCCTCCCTGCTTTCCATATTAAAAATAAAGATGAAATGGGAAGCCCAAGGCAGTAAAATTCAGAATCCTTTTGTGTTTTCCCTGTGTATTTATTGTGGTGTCTACCAGCGAGGAGAGAAGGTCTGTTATCATTCCATCTCTCCGTATTGGTTCCTTCAGAAGGTTGTAATGATTAGACTCCAGTTGGCCCCAGCCCAGCTTTCCACTCACCTCTTTCCTATCCCTTCCCAGGTCTTTATCCTTTATAGTCAACATGATTATCTCTCTTCTGCAAATATGCATTACTCTTCTTTCCCGAACCCCCAGGTTTTTACCATCACTTTTCACTAAGTTTTTATCTCTGATTTATGGAACATAAGTGCTCTGCAATGCGTTTTCCCTGGCTGTCTCCTTTTAACGTTTCCAACCTTTCATTCTTTCCAAGGAAGCATGATACCTCTTGTTCACGCCTTCCTAGATCCATGGTTGGCCCACATTTATTAAAGCTGGCCTCTCCCCTAGATTCACCTACCTCCTGCTTCCCGTACACCTGATTTCTTTTCTTCTAATCTTTAACATATATGTTAGCTTAGGGAAGAATGGAAGTTTACCCCCACACTTTGCACCTGTATTAATTAAATCCAGTCATTAACTTACATATGTTTATGTGAGCCTGGGCTGGAGTATGTTATACAGTCCTTAGAACAGACTCCGTTAACACTTAACCCACTTTTGGGAGGTAATCAATTGTTTCCCAGTAGAAGTGATATCTCAGCTGAGACAGAAATGATGAGTAGGAGTTAGCAAGGCAAAGAAGATAGGCAGAGAGAACTGCTTGTTCAAAGGCTCTGGAGTGAGAGAGAACATGGAGGGACTGAGAAAAGTTCAGTGTGGCATGAAGTATGAATGGCTGAGGAGCGGGGGATGGTGCTCAGGAGATGAGCAGAAGTTAGATCATGGAAGACAGTATGCCATGGTCAAGAGTTACGGGAATGGGAAACCACTAACGTGCTTTAGGATTTTTATCAGATTTTTAGAAAGCTCAGAGCTATAGATAGAAAGATGATAGGAAGGCACAAAACTGAAGGCAGGTAGGCGGGATGGGAGGTTGTTGCAGGAATCCAGGTGAGAGATGCTGACGGCTGGACCAAGGTGGGAGTCAGGAGGTAAGTGGACAGATATAACAGACAGTTAGAAGGTGGAATCAGTCAAACTTTTTGATGCTTTCCAACTGGCAGCCCCTGTCTGTACCTATTAAAACCCTATCCATCTTTAGACTCAAATGGCTATCTTTATCCTAAAATTTTTCATATGCTTCCTAACCCATTCTGTACCTTCTCAGAACTTCCGTAGCAATTTGTATACGTATGTTGTGAGACTGGATTTCAGAATTGAATTATTGTTTATGTCTGAACTAGATTTTGTCTGAACTAGATTTTCAGATCTTTAAGGGCCAAGATGGTCTCATTTCTCTGTCCGCAGTGCGCCTTGCATAGAGTAACATCCAATAAATGCTTATTGGAATGAATTGCATTCTCTGTGTTCTTTCTCAGTGAGTGTTTAATTCAGGGCCTCTAAATGGGCTCAGAGAAAAGTTTTTTGTCCTGGTACACAGACAGAAAAAGAAATTTCAATGTTGGAAATGTTTGCTTTTCTTTTCAGGACAGTTCCCCAGTAGCTTTGTGGAAATTGTGACCATTCCCAGTCTAAAAGAGGGAGAGAGACTGTTTGTCTGTGTCTGTGAATTTACATCCCAGGAACCCAACAGTCTTCCCCTCCATCGAGGTAAGTTCATCATCTAAGAGTAGAGTGTTCAAAATTAGATCGGTGGAGTTCGCCCATTTTGACAACTAGATCTCAGGAATCCCAGGGCCACCCAAAAGAGTCTCAGGAAGACCCTGGCCTGCAAGGTCAGGCTGGGTCCTGGAATCTCTAGATCTCACCTTGACTAGCTTTTAACCAGTTAAGCCTAACGAGCTTAAAGATGTAAGTGCAGCCTAAAGGAAGAGAGTGCAGAGCAGGGGGGATACATAGGAAAAGAGAATAGAAAGAGTTGTACTAATTATCAGTGGCTTTATCTTGTCCTCTTCTCTGATACTCTGCTGCCAGTAAACACACTGACTGTTCAGCTCTCTTTCCCTCTATGTTTTTCCCATCTCTTTAGGCTCTGTATGTCCTCCAATTTGAACACACAAGCCTTTGAGGATGGGGGAGTTAGGTGTACCTATGCAATTTGTCTTTCTCTGAGTTTAGCATGTGATATAGAAATGTTTTTAATTCCTCTTGTTTTCTATACCTGACCATCCACATAAACAGGTATTTTCACTAGTTGGGAACAAAATCACTAAGAAATGGAAGCACACATAGTTATAAGACTCAAGTCCAGGCTTCCTGATTGTCCAGTCTAGTGCTTGGAATGACCCTTCTACTTTAGACGAAACACTGCTTTTCCCACTCTATCAGTGTCTCAGCTCATGAGTAGTATCAGTTCCTTTATCCCTGTGCTCCAGCACTGTGGATCCTGTTCCCTGTTGTTTCTTTATTTCTTTTATTTTTTTTATTGGGGAACAGTGTGTTTTTCCAGGACCCATCGCGTCAAGTCAAGCAGTTGTTTCAATCTAGTTGTGGAGGGCGCAGCTCCGTGGCCCATGTGGGGATTGAACCGGCAACCTTGGTGCTATGAGCCTGTGCTCTAACCAACTGAGCCTACCGGCAGCCCCTCCCTGTTGTTTCTTTATCTTTCCTTAGTACCTGCAGTGTAGCAGCAAACCTTCTGTTCTGTGCAAATAAAGCTTTGGTGATTTCACATGTCAGGATGGGATTTGGAACCCTTAAGACCCTGCGAGACCGTATTTGAGATGTTTTGTTTTACTGTGCTGCCTTTAGGCAGCTGTTATGTCCTTACCTTTCAGAAATACCACTGGGATTGTTGAGAGAAAAAAATTATATTTTTTAATTATAAAGTTATATTATAAAATATATACATGTATATGTATTCAGAGCAGGCAGTATAGCTTAGGGGATAAGGATTCTGATGTCCCTAGATTTAAATCCAACTCCACAACTTAATAGCTGTGACTTTGGGTTAGTTACTTAAGTTATCTCAGCCTCCGTTTCCTTATCTACAAAATGAGGATAATAATACCTACCCTGGGGTAGTTGTATTAAGTGAGGTTATGCATGTGAGGCATCTGACACAAGGTAAGCATTTATTAAAGATTTGCTATTTTTACTATTCTTAGCTGGGATTCCTGAGTTCATAGATATACTTCAGGGGACCTTGTTTCCCAATAATTGTGTGGCATTTTGTGTGTATGAACATTTTTCCAGGGAGATTCTAACTGGAATCTCCCTGCAGGTGGTTCTTCCAGCAGGTGTCACCCTTTCTCCTTTTCCCAGAAGCTATCCAATTATCCTGTACTGTTACCTGTATTTCGAGTTATAAACTCAGCAACAAGGCTGTCTCCTAGAAGGATCAATGCAGGTGGCCAGGGCCACTGACTTGCCCTAAAAAATAAGACAGAGAAAGAGCGAGAGAGAACAAAAACAAAATAAGAGTATAATAAGGAAAATACAGAGAAAGAGGAGAGAAAAAAATTAGTGATGCAATATCACTAATAATTGCTTACATAACACATAATACATATTCCTTGCCTATAACCTCATGTATCTAGGTGACCTCCCTACCCCCAAAAAGAGACCAATAAAAAATTTAAAAAGACCAATAAAAATGATATTTATCAGTCAAAGCACTTGTGTCATAAATTTGCAATGCTGTGTGAGATATCCGGATTAAAGCTCTGATATGGCTCAGATGGAAACCTCAGTAAAATACATGGTCCATCTGCATAAAGCACGTAGTCCCACAGGCGTTAGGATTCGATGAGAGACCTAATACCCACGGTCAGACTGTTAAATTCAGATTCTAAGATTTGCATTCATTCCTGTCATCTTATTCCTAATGCATTTCTTATTCAAATGAAAAGATCCAACCAGAAGAAGCAAGCAGTGTGGTGGCTGGGAATAATTATACATGAGTGAAAGGCTCAGGCTGACTAAGAGTCACCACACTTCCTACTTTTCTGTTCTCGAAATCAGGTCACTGTTTTCCGGGAGTTCCTCATATTGTTGATTCAGAAGTCTAGAAGTAACCGCTAGGTTGCCTTCATTCCTAAGGAATCAGCTAGGATGCCAGGGAGATAGCTGCATGACTCTGTGATTAAAATGAGAGACTCGTGCAAAAAAACAAAACAAAACAAAAAAACAACTCACTAACATGGCTATAAAATAAGGGCATTGAACAAAATTATCTCTAAAGTGCTTTTCAGATCTTAAATAGTGATTTTTTAAAATTCACCTTATATAGGAATAACCAACAGAATGACAGTGTGCTAGGTATTAAAGCTTATCAAAGCAGTCACCCAGCAGAAAATAGGAAAATGGGACTGATTTAAAGTATTTTGTGGAGATCTGGCACAACAAGGAAAATATTGTAATTCTACAACCTTAAGAAATCTAGTTCATTTCAAAGCCAGTAGAGTGGGAGTTATGACACACTTTTGTTCTTCTCATTCACAAGAGGCCTATTGTGTCTGAATAGTAGCCGTGTCTCCAGCGAGTCCCTCTGTGGTCCTGGTGAAATGGACTCAGTGCAAGTGGAGGAAAAATCATTGTAATTCTCAGGACCCCAAGCTCTGACCAATGGACATTGAATCATAAAGGACCAAGTTTAGGACCAAATATAGGACCAAGTTTCTATTTTTCAGGAACATCTAAGCAAAGCAATATCCAATCAGTGAAAATGTACTAGATGTCTACTACTAAGTGCAAAATTTTACATTAGGTGCTGTATAGTATATAAAAATACAAGTGTCAAAATGAGTGATATAAGCAATAATTTCTTTAATAGTCAGTGGATGGTCAAAATGATTGTGGGCTTTTAAGGGTTTTTAGAGAAGCATTCTTAGGTTTTAGATGGAGAGGTTTGTATAGGAGACAATGAAAGTCTCCTTGTGTGGGATAGGGTCTCATAGGTGAGATAAGATTGGCTAGCTGGGGGAGGGAAAAAAAACAGTTGCAGAGGAAGAAATTTTGTTGAAAGAATTTGAGGAAAGGCGATCACTTAGGAAAAAGTCTGGGCTCACCCAGGACACCAAGCCAGTGGGCAGACAAGAAATAAAAGATTCTAGCACCAGGAGGTGCTGTCTGAATTGAGGACATTGTCTCATAAATGCAACAAGGAAAACCATCAGTCCAGGAAGCAAATTGTGAGCTCAGTGAGGCCAGTTCTGTCAGTCAAGAGAGAGGAATCCGCCAGGGAAGAAGAGGCGCCCCCATTGCTGCAGAGGCCCGAGAGAGCAGAGAATCTGGTTAAAGAAGGATGCTTTCAAAATACAGAGCTTCCCAGACCTGCACTGGAAGGGCAGCATTTGGAGAGGAACCCAGATAATCAGACTGGTGCCCCCAAGGAGAAAAGGAAGGAACACATGATTGACCTACAAAACATCCTAACCACAAAATTTCCTTCTGTGAAGTCTTTGGCAGTCCCCACAACCACAGAGGAATTGGAAGGTGAACAGGAGAGAGATCAAAAGCAGATGATAAAGGAAGCTTTTGCTGGGGATGATGTCATCAGAGACTTCTTGAAAGAGAAGAGGGAAGCTGTAGAGGTTTCTCATTAAAGCCCCTGAAGGTCCTCCAAGAAAAACCAAGAATTTGCCAAGTGTGATTATCAATGAGAAGCGAAATATCCATGCAGCAGCTCACCAGTTGCTTCTGGATCCATTCACCCATCCACTCACCCTATAGGATCTACATGGAACACCCAGAGGGCCTTCCAAAAGCTGACTGCGCCCAAGGTGGTCACCAGGCCGTATCATTAAGCCTGTGAAAGCAGGGGATGTGGGCTACTGGTCTTCCTGAAAGTTGGACCTCTCTGTCATACAGAGGAATCCGAAACGACTCTCCATATGTCACAAAAAACAGCTCAAGAAAAACTCTAAAGACTGAGGTGCCGAAGGAGTGACATCTCAGTGCCCAAAACCAGGAGCCCCAGCTGCTCCTCCATTGGCCTGGTTTTACTCTGAGCTGCAGGATTAATTCCAAAACTGGCTCAGCACACCGTGGGGATAGTTAAGCCACATTTTAGAAATAAAGGCTTTTTTATCTGTTAAAAAATCAATTTATTACAAAACTGTAGAGTAATTTTTTAACTGAGGTGAATGAATCTTTTAAGACTGAACTTCAATTTCATTTTTTTTTTCAAAAACAAACACTGTGCCCCTATCCTTTCTTTACCTCAACTTCTTCAACAATAAGACAGATGCTGGGCCAGCCAAGTGGCGCGTTGGTTAGGAGTTGACTTGGGATGCCAGCTCTGAGCAGCAGGGCCCCGGTTCGGATCCCACATGAGGGCCAGTGACGCTGCACCCTCTACAGCTAAGATGGTGAACAACAGCTCGACCTGGAGCTGGCTGCCGTGAGTCGCCGGTGATGGCTTGGGCTGCAGTGGGGCTGGCCAGCAACGGGCGTGCGCTTTCATGAGCTGCCATGAGCGGCAGTCCAATGGCCAGCGAGCAACTGCCTCACCCGGGAAGAGCGCAATGATAATACCAACGTGGGCTAGTGAAGTGATGTCCTCCACAACTAGACTGAAGAACAAAATGACAGCAATTTGTCTGTTCCCCTTCCCTAATTCCCCAACACTGTTTCCCTCCCCCAACTCCCCAATAAAATTTTTTAAAAAAATAAATAAGACAGATGCTAACTGTTCAGCTTATATTATTTTATGAAGATAACCTGAAACACCAATATTGGAACTATAGGTTATTTTCAAAAACAAAGTGCTGATTACTAGAACATTCTTTTAAGATTTTATTATGATGTCTTTTCAGGATAGTTTAAGAAGGCCTCCAGAAAATAAATGAAGAGCTTATTGTCTATACGCTACACATCTATAAGAGATTTCTTTCTTTGTTCCATATTTGATTTTGAATATAATTTGGTGTGACAAATTAGATCCATCTATTCAAAGGACTATAGTGGACATGAATACCATATTTTGCCATGTATAATGCGCACTATTTTGCCCAAATTTGTGAGGGAAAATAAGGATGTGCATTATTCATGGGTAGTACTAATTTCGTATCTATATAAATGTTTTTGATTCTTTTATTTATGCTTGTGAGTTGTGCCTCTAGAAATCAATAACGATATCCATATGCAAAATAATACCCTGGAATATGACAATCGGTTTTGTTGAATTTAAGACAAACTTGCAACGATGAAGAGTTCTTAGCCTTCTATGATGCATAAATACCGTAAATTTGTTACTTATTCATAAAATTTCTTGTACCATAATATGTTAAAAAAATGCTAAAATTCCTTTATAATACAAAAAACAAATGCCTAAATGTAAACAAATAAAAATTTGAATTAAAAAATTAAATGAAAGATTATTTTCCCTGAAAGTTTGGGCCAAAAACGTGGGTGCACATTGTACATGGCAAAATACGGTATATTCTTTATCATTTATAAACTAATCCAATGGCAGACTGTGAGAACATTGTTTATATTAGCATTTCTCAATTTTGTTCTTGAGACACCTTTATACTCTTAGAAGTTATTGAGATCCTAAAGGGCTCTTATTATACTTATGTGTATCTATTGATATTTACCATATTAGCTATAAAAACTGAGAAATTAAAAAATTTATCAATTCATTTTTTAAAACCCATGGCATATTTACATAAATAGCATATTTTGATGAAAAATAACCAGTTTTCTAAACAAAGAACATTTGGTTCTCACAACATTGGTTTATTTTTTGGCAAATCTATTTAATTTTGGTTTCATAGAAGAAAGCCGGATTCTCATATTTGTATCTGTTTTCAATCTGCTGCGATATGTTGTTATGACTGAAGTATATGAAGAAAATATGGTAGTTTTTTGACCTTACAGACCCTCTGAAAAGATCTTGGGGAGTCCCCCCCACCAAACAGGTCCTGTGGACAACACTTTGAAAATCACTGGTTTACAGTATATTGTCACTAAATTGTCAAAACTGTACATACCCTTAAAACTCTAGTGGCATATTTCCTGGAATTTGATAGATGTTTAAAGCAATGAGTTGCACCACTCGTTATAGTAATATTCTCCTGGAGTGCTAACTGAGGTCGCCATCTTTGCTTCTCTTCCTCAGGTGACCTTGTGATTCTCGATGGCGCTCCCACTGCTGGCTGGCTGCAGGGCCGAAGCTGCTGGGGTGCCCGGGGCTTCTTCCCCTCCTCATGTGTTCGGGAGCTCTGCCTCTCTTCACAAAGCCGGCAGTGGCACTCACAGAGCACCCTGCTCCAGATTCCTGACTATTCCATGGGACAAGCCCGGGCACTGATGGGACTGTCCGCCCAGCTGGATGAGGAGCTGGACTTCAGAGAAGGGGACGTGATTACCATCATCGGAGTTCCTGAGCCAGGCTGGTTTGAAGGGGAACTAGAGGGTCGAAGAGGCATTTTCCCAGAAGGTTTTGTAGAGCTTTTGGGGCCCTTGAGGACTGTGGATGAGTCGCTAAGTTCTGGAGATCGCAGTGACTGCATTATTAATGGTGAAGTCGATACCCCTACAGAGGAAGAGGAGAGGGGGCCAGAAGAGGAGGACAAGCAACCAGGGGCCTACGGAATTGCCCTCTACAGGTTCCAAGCCCTGGAGCCGAATGAGTTGGATTTTGAGGTGGGTGATAAAATCCGCATTCTGGGGACCCTGGAAGATGGCTGGCTGGAAGGATCACTGAAGGGCAGAACAGGCATCTTTCCTTACCGGTTTGTAAAGTTATGTCCTACAACACGGGTGGAGGAAACCATGGACCTGCCACAGGAAAGCAGCCTTACCGGGGTCCCCGAAACATCTTTGGAATGCTCAGAGAACGCATTAGTAGAGGAAAAAGGATACGAATCTCATGAGTATAAAGCAGAGAAGTCCAACTGTGTTATTTCTGAAACATCCGCTTCTCCCCCAGATCACCTGACCTCTGAGTATGGAGTAAACAGAATCTCTCATCAGGATGGGGACTCCTCTGGAGAACCCCAGAGAAGCCCAGGCACGGGGCACGAACAGCCTCTTGCCAAAGACTCTTCCATGAAGGATCCTTCCGAGGTGGTCAATGGTGTTTCCCCCCAACCCCACATACCTTTTCATCCCCAATTGCAGAAAAACCAGTATTATTCTAGAGCAGGAGGGAGCCACCCAAGCTCAGAGCAGTTCTCTGACCCTGTTCCTCGAGAAACAAGGACTAGAGACTATTCCAGCCTACCTTCCAGAAGAACATACTCCCAGCCGAAAAGCCTTACGAAGCCAGTGCCTCCTCTTCACAGCAGCCTTTCTCTTTCAGCCCCGACGGGGATCAGACCTGGTCAGGCGAGCCCTCAGCTCCAGGGCATGGCAAGGTGTGCTAAAAAGCACCACACACCCAAAGAAGAAAATGCTTCTTGCTTTTGTTCTGCCTCGGAGGGATTGGAGATGAAGCCTGGTCTGCAAGACAAAGCACCCTCCATGGAAGCAGTGGCACTTCCACAGGGAGAGGGCAACATTGACCTGGACTTGAAGTTGACACAACAGCTGTTGGAGTTTGAGAAGAGCTTATCAGGGCCTGGCACAGAGCCAGATAAAATTTTACGCCACTTTTCAATCATGGATTTTAGCTCCGAGAAGGATATTGTCCGAGGTTCCTCAAAGCTCATCACCCAACAGGAGCTGCCTGAGAGGAGAAAGGCCCTAAGGCCACCGCCACCCCGTCCCTGTACCTCAGCATCCCCTGCTTCCCATTTGCTGGTGGACCGGAGCCTGAAACCTGAACCACCCTTGGCAGTGCGACCCTCTCGCCCAGCTCCCCTGCCTCCCTCCGCACAGCAGAGAATGAACGCAGCACCCCCCAAGCTCCTCACCTCTAACCATCCTAGCTGTGAGACCCTAGAAAAGGAGGCCCCTGAGAGTACGGAAAAAACTTTGGACCAAACTTCCCCATGTCCCTTAGTATTGGTGAGGATCCAGGAAATGGAACAGGACCTGGAAATGTATAGCAGAGCTCAAGAAGAGCTCAACTTAATGCTAGAGGAGAAGCTAGAAGAACCATTAAGAGCAGAGACCCTGGAGAGGCTTGAATTCTGTGAGAGCAACATCGAAAGTTTGAACATGGAACTTCAGCAACTTAGAGGTAAGTGATGAGGAAATAATATTCTTGTTTCTTGACACCCACAAGTCCAAGTGCCAGCCTACCCTTGTATTTTAGGAATATGTTGCCATCTTTGATCGACAAAGAATGGTTCACTTTTTCATTCCCTAATTTCTTATTCTGTCACCACCATTAGACTGCTCTGTCTTGATGTACTCTATGACCATTGTGGCCTCCTGATGTTGTCTGCAGCTCAGGTAAAGAAGCTCAAACCTTAGTGGCGTTTATACCATGTTTCCCAGAAAATAAGACCGGGGCTTATGTTAATTTTTGCTCCAAAAGATGCATTTTATTCATTTTTTCATGTACAAAAATCTACATTTATTCAAATACAGTCATGTCTGGCTGACAATCTTAACTGGGCCTATTTTTTGGTAGGGCTAATAGTACGAGCACCCTGAAAATCATGCTAGGGCTCATTTTCCGGTTAGGTCTTAAATATTTTCAGGGAAACACGGTACCGCCTACACTGCTGTGACATCTATAGCAGTCATGCAGATGGGATGTCCCTAGATTTAACTTTCTTTAACCAGGCTTTGCTAAGGACTGCAGACTTCCAGGCTAAAAGCCATGAGAAAACTGCATCTTCTATCTTTGTGGTCCAGGGGCTACATCTCAGTAATAATAATAGCTAATATTTATTAACTTATTAACAGCCATTTGTTATCATTTGCTTACACGAAGAATCTTCACAGCCACCCTGAAGGTAATTCTTATGGCTACTTTATAGGAGGGGAAGCTAAGATTTTAGAGATTAAATAACCTGCCAAGGGAGCATGGATTTGAGCTCACGTTTTCAACTACTCCAGTTTACTGCTTCCTATCCTGCACATTCAAAAATCCAATTCTGTCCCTTCATTTGGGGGTGACCAGCCTCTGCAGCCTTCATTCGTATTCACCAGGCTATCAGGAGAAATAATTTACAAAGTAGGAAGCGTAAGAGAATGAGACAACAGCAGTTGGTCTAGGGCCCAAGGGAACATGACTGCATGCCCCTTTGGCATGTGTGCCAGAGAGCGCTGAACCTACATGTCACCAGCAGAGTGAATAATAAAAAGTAATGTGTGGGCCTAGAAATTGCAGGATACTAATGAGATAAAAGCAGGAGAATAATGGCTCAGAGAGACTGGATCAAAATGGCTGACCAAGGACACATACCTACTCCCCTTGTCCTTTAGGCCTCTAAAAGTGAATAAAAAGATATAAAAAGTTCCAAGAAGAAAGTATTATCGGAAAACCAGAAATGGAGTAATTTTTCTGAAAGATGAAAAGCAGGTGGTATTACAGAAAGAGGAAACCTCTATCTAAAATATGCTCAGGAGAGGACTGCTTTCATATGTGGGCACAAGTTCCAAGGGAACGCCAAAGTCAGAGGTGTGGAAGTAGGGGGTCCTAGAGCGGGTTCTGTGTGATGAATTAGGGACTGGCTGGGTCCCCGGGCCCCTGGGTCACTTGCGCCAAACAGAAGCAGCAGCGTTTCCCCTCAAGGTAAAGCCTGAGGATGAGTGCTTAGACATGTCCTCCAAGAGGTGTTTGTTTACTATGAGTACCTGAACTCTTGGGGGAATGCCAGATGATACCTTGTTTGCAGAGTGCCTTGAAAAGACTTCTAAGGGGACTTTGGCTCAGCCTACATCCCCAAAGCCATAGCAAGCCCCGGGGTTCTCTATCGTCTTCCACACGTACAAGTTTCAAGATATACTTATAAACTATTCCTGCTGTAGATTTATGGGTGGCAGAACAAAAGTCTCCCAGATTTCAGATAGCAAGAATTTCTCAATAATGATACTTTTTAGAATTAATAGGGTTCCACAGAAATGTTATGTCTTCTATCTTTAAGAACGCCATGTAGTGTTTTTAAGTGGATATGTGGATTAATGGACCGGTACAAAGTGATGAGATTGATATTCTTTTTTATTCACCTGATCTTCTATATCAGGACTAATTTAATAATTCAGCCAGTGTTCTTATGATGTGTTTTGTTATTCTAAAAGTTTAATACCATGAAAAACCTACAGTAGGTGGGTAGCGTCTTCATCAGGAAGACTTTATTCGAATTCACCAAATTCAGCATTGGCTATGTTAATATTGACTTGATCGATTGTCAATAGGTGTATTTTTATATCAATTGCTAATATGAAATTACTTATTTCTTGCAATCAATGACAATGCCTCTTGAGATCATCTTTTTCTGTCTTCATCAAAAGTGTATCCAAACAACAATATAAGCAGTCCCTTGAAAGAGGAGGAAATTAATCAGTTTAAGCACCAAGGCTTTATCCCTCCAATTCAAGTCCTGTACAATCTCTAATTTTAAAATTTAAGGCCTAAGAGTTAAAGAACTTTTGATACAGCATTTATCTAATTCTGACTGATATTATTTTTAGTTGTTTGTATGCCTCCTGATGAAAATTTAAGCCTACTGAGAAGATGGATACTGTGTTATTAGTCAGTGTGTCATTTCCCATACACCCCTATAGTGTTCTAAAGGCGGTAGACTCATTAAACACTTGATGAATTGAATTTGGTTTAACTGAATGAAAGTTGAAGTTGCCTGCTCTAACTCCCAGAGGCTTCAAAGATCTCCTACCTCTGTTGTTACTTTGAACTTGGACTAGTGGGGGGCTGGGGACTGTCAGTGTAGAGATGTCAGTTAGACACAGTTAATGGGTAACAAAATAGTCCAGTTCTGTGCCGGACCCAAAATGAGAGTCATTATTGTAGCTATTGCTTCTTATTCTCCTCTGCCTCCTCCTTCTCCTTCTCCTCCTCCTCCTCCTCCTCCTCCTCCTCCTCCTCCTCCTCCT